TACTAGGGAGTCCAGAACCTTGAGTGACAAACCAAGTTTTTCTTAGCGGCGATCATTCCACCGTGGTTGCCATGTGTTTTCCCTCGCTGAAAGTCAAAACACCCATCTTCTTTCTGTCGTCATTTTCGACAAATGGGGTTTTTACTCTTTTGACTGGTTGGGACTTTGGGAACAGGTGCAAGGGAGAGAGAAGTATTGAGCGAGATTTACGGGAAAATCTCCCCAAAAAATAGAGCCCAAATATTACCCTCCTAAGCTCCTTTAGTCGGCATATACGACGCTATATTATCCTAGGGTATTTATCACCTTCCAGGAAGACTGCCCCGGTCGCTAATGCATCGGTTCGGCGTGTGCGGAGCTGCCAGGACACGTTGGTACAAGGTGATACTACCTTGTATGATCTATACATAATATTACCCGCTATGTGCATGATATGTATGTATGTATACCAACCAACATGTAGTGGACAGTAACCCACACAAACGGCGTTAACATCGACCATCTGGTACCCTGAGCTTGTCTTCTAGCAGACAAGCACCAGGGAATCCTTGAGCAAGATTCCAACCAGTTGCTGAGTCTAAAATCCCATCAGGGAAAATGATCTGACAGAAGCATATTTCTGAATGACCTGTGCTTCTGCAAGGAGGTACCAGGTCCTTTTTTTTTTTTTTTTTTTTTTTCGCTCGTCCGGGTGCCACCGAGTACAGTACGGTGACGATAGTTCGCAGCCCGTGGGACCCCTGAGGACGATCGTTCAGTGCGGCCACGTGAAAGCAGTCTGTATCGAGATCGTGGCCGACCGAGAGTCAAGGACTAGTATGAATGGGGTTGTTCTTATGATTATTATTACACAGTATTATTATTTATGTCCGTTAACCCTCTAAGGATTCGCATTACTACGTATTATCTTGTTAATTTGTATTTGTATTTTCTTTAATCCCCACCCTTCTCCAACCTGCGACGACCCAAGTCACTTAATGTCATACGAATACCAGCCATGATAAGTTTATGCTTTTCCCTCTTACTGGTTAACTTTTCATAAATCTCATAATATTATCTTTCAAGGTCAGAAAATTAAAAACTATCCAGACTAGTTTCTTACTCCTTCCATAAACACGGAGTACGTTGGGTGCTGATTATGTGGCTAATTGCTATTACAGCAGTCTAGATCAAGTGCGGACCAACATGGATACGATCGACTCGTAATTTATCGTGTACATCCGCGGCGCTTAACAATAATTATAGTAGTACTGAATTAATTAAGGCATAGTCCAATCGTCCACCCCATGACAATCATCATGTTGGATGATTCCATGCGACTAAGACAAACACGCTGTCGGGGTAAAAAGTATAACGAGTTTCGAATTCCAATGACGCGGAGACCTCCGTTCCATGATGTAATAATTAATTCTCCAAGGAAAAGAGAAAGACAGACAGTTATTAGACCTTCCCTTACCTTTTGGTGTTGCCAAGTCCAGTACCATCCCTCGCATTGTTACCCCTCGCCGAGGAATGTTTGACCCATACAACAACGTGTTCTTTCATCATCCAGCGCCATGGGTACGGACTTTGAGGTGCCGAAATTCTTCAGGCCACGGGACATTTTGCAGGCGTGGAGGATGCATTTGCCATGGCGATTTCTGGCGTTCTGATACGTTGATCCGGACTGGATCTACTCCCCTTCCATGTTGGGCCCCACTTCCCGGTTGGTCCAAGCTACTGCTTTGAATTGACACTAAGCACCAAAGGGGCAACCGCAAATAGATTCAAGGTCTTTTCTTTTTCGTTTTCGTATTTCTTTCCTCAGATCGTTTCCCTCCCCTCCTAAACCGTTTTTACTTCTTTTCCATCACCAACCCACCCACCCCCATTATGCAGAACACCCCCTCCTCCCCGGGGCTAAGTTTCAAACAGGCAGACACACAACAAAGTTTCCCCCGTTGGACCACTAGTTCAATTATGGATCTTTAACTTTCTACCTTGAAAAGTGGGGACCCCCGTGGCCGATGGAAGTTCTGGCAAACCGGCCCTACCCTGTTTTGAGTTAAGCCTCCATCGGCTGGCATGGCTCCCAATTCTGGTCCTTTCAATGTCCAGTCCCCGGCTGGACACGCAGATTCAGAGTGGGGCCGGGGGGAAGGCAAAGTAAAGGGAAAAAAACAGAATTAGACACTAAGACCCTCTCCCTAGCCGTCTTTGTACTGTATCGCCAGGTCAGATCGACAAGAGGATTGCCAAGATCAGTCCTTACAATTTCTCTAAAAGAGCAGATCTCTCGGCTATTCTGTTCCAAACTTTATGAGATTTAAAAGGGAAGCTGGAGAACCGATGAAGGTAAAAGAGCGATCGAGAAATATAAGCGAGAAGTGACGATAAGAATTATCATCTGGACTGATGAAGGTGCAGTATCTTGGATAGCGCACGTACCGTTACTATATATGCCGAGTAACATGAACAGGGTCTGATCACAAAAGGTGCTACCTCCGCCGCGATGGGGATCGCAAGGCTACACAACGAGGACGAGCTTCAGGGATATATATACTGTTTACCTACTATCTTGTACATGTCAAGAAATAGCGGCACCTACAGCAGCAAGCCAAATGTGTAAAGAGTACTCCGTATATCTGTATGTATTGCCTGTATGTATCGCTGTCGACGCGAACATTTACGGAGGAAAGCGAAAAAGAGAGTCGAGAATAGTATCGAACTCAAACAGGGTATTTATTTCAATTACTATTGGATGGTCAGGTAATCTCAACTTTGGTACCTGACATTCGACATAAGTCGGGGAATTGTTCAATGGCCATGCTTGAATGACTCAAAAATATGGCTCGACGGTTAACCATGGATGGTGGTGTTCAAGGAGGGTACGGGTACGTACCCCCAGTTGAGTTTGACCCCCAGAGAAGACGGCCTCGTGGTTGTGGCCCCTGTGTTCCATTTCCATGCAGTAGTGCCGCTTCTCTCGAGGTCTAGTGCTTGACTAGACTACAACTACCTGATAGATTTTATTCAGTATCTACTCCGTATTCTTTTCCGTCTTTCCTCCGAGAGTAGATCCCCAAATATCTGTTGTAACTACTCCCGCAATATCCGCCAGTTCGAGGGTCGCGGCGGCTGTCATATGAATGCAGTTTGGTATGCCTTTACCCTGTCTCTAATCACCTGAAAATGTCCCTCGTGTTCACTGCTGGCAGTACCAGTGCATAAATCGGGTAAAACTTCTCCAGTGCCCTTCTTTACTTTTTCTTTTCCTTTCTTTCCATTCTGCTTGGCAGTTACACCAAACCGTTGGTGAGCCAACATCAGGACTTCCGATATGATGTTATTTGGTCAAACATATGTAGAGACTGTTTCCTTTTTCAGGATTGAAACCAAAAGCATGCCACTGTCGGTGTGTATACAGCGTGTGTGCAATATAGGCAAGAGGGCTTAAACACTGACAGTACAGGGTTGCATGCTTCTGTGTTTTCATTTTTCATTTTTCGTTTTATTTTATTTATTTTATTTTACTTTACTTTACTTTATTTTTTGACTTATGATGGCATGGTACAGTACCTGATCTGGATAAGAAAGGGGGGGTGTGAGTGACTTGGGACTGCACCATGCACCATGTGTTGAAGTTTCCGTAGAGTCGGTCACGACCACTTTAAATTTCTCCCATAAATCTAAAATTTCCCAGTGGGATGAACCGTATGTGTCAATCAACCTCGTCATAAATCCTCCTCTTAGCCCTGATCAACTCTCTTGCTCTTGACTTATTTTATTTCTCTTCCTCTAAGCGACTGGCAGTGGATTACAGGGACGGTCATCTCCGGTTTAGGTAGTAGTATAATACGTCCTTCCACATCGATTCAACCTCTTTCATTTTTGCTTCTACTATCGATTTAACCCTTCTTCCAACAAATATTATGATCCAGGACCTTTATCCCTTTTCAAAACGTTTCTGATTGCCTGGGTTAGAGTATATTGACGAGTCTCTTCCCTTTGTCTCGCGTCTTAATACGGGACTTGGTACGGGAACTATCAACTCCGACACAGTAATTTTTTACCTGTCTGCTGCATTTCCATTTTCTTTCAGCCATCCTCGATTCCACTGCCGCCCCAACCTATTAGCACCTATAGCTTCCGCGACTAGACTGCCTTAGTCCTTCCCACTTGATCGAGTTCCAAACTTCTTCGAGTTCCACTGTCTGAGGTACACTCCTCCTCCGTATTCCTTCTTCCTAGTTGCTATTATTATTATTACCTATTCGCAACCAATTTTTTTTCTCTTAATTTTCTTTTTCTTTTTTTTTTTTTTTTTTCTTTTACCCTCTCACTTTCTTACTCTCCCATCATCTTATCCTTACGCTCACAATTGATTCGACCAATTTTGTCTCTTCTTCTGGAGGAATACTTTCTTCTCTCTTCCTTCCTTTCCCTTGAATGTCCCCCCCGCCTCTCTCTTCCTGTCTTCAACCACCCCCCCGGCGCAAGCCTATACTACTTTTCCGCCGGTCTTAATAAAGTTCTGCTGGCCATCATCGGTCGGGATCTTTGCCCTAAACAGCTTTCTTCCTGCCCAATTGTTCTTCCTTTGGATTTCGTGCCACGTTCCGCTGCGCGTTTGCGCTTTCGTTTTTAAGGTAAGCTGCTGTCTGTGAGATTCATCACCTGCGAACCCATGGCCCGGCGTTATTGGCTCTGCCTGCTACCGTCTGTACCTAATTTCCGCATCTCATGCTGACGTGAAATTGCATTTGTTATTTTCAAGGGAAGAAAATTCGCTTTTCCATTTTATTTAGAAATACTTTTCTTTTTTCTTTTTTAAAACCCCCAAATTTTCCACCCGGTGTTTCGACAGTACACTTGGTTTCGGTCATTCCTCCACGTTATTTCCACCACCCCAACCGTCCGCCCTCTACTACCCGCCCAGACTTGCTCTTCACAACCCATACTTCTCGTCGACGTCCTTATATATTCCGGATTCCTAATCTTGAATTCAATTTTTGCCAGTGAAAAAATCTCTGCGTGGTGGATTTTGTATTTTGTGGGTCGACGTCCGACTGGTTCTTGGTCGACGGATATCCGTGTCGCATTGCCGAGTCACGCATAGACATCACGGGAAGAGTGTCTTTTGGTCTCTTAAACCGGGCTCTGGATTGCAGAGCGTATTTTGCAGGGTATTCGGAAATAGAGAAGCAACCTGGGGTACGCTCTCTGGACGTTTCTGCGACAGCAAATCGCCACTGTCGAGATCTGGAATAACTGCCGGTGACACGATTCTGGGATCATTTCTCGCGACGACAGAGATTCTATCGTCTTGAAAATCAGACCGACAGTTCGACCCATCTGACTACCTGCCTACCTGTTCGTGGAACATGAGATAAGTGCGCTCGAATTTGGTCTATCCTAGAATCAGTATCAGGACGCTCGTTCAAAAACACCATTCCTTTTCGTTTTCCGCATTGGCACGCATACCGTGAACAATCGACCATGGAAGCCACACTTACACATCGGCCGTGGGAGCCTGCCACCAATGGACCCCAAACCCCCACAGTATCTTCATCGCAGACCCTCCCCTCGATATCGACGTTGACAGCGAGCATGACCACCACCGCCGCTCCTCCAGCGGAGAAGTCGCCCGGTAATGTGTCGTTGAATACAATCGAGCGCGATTCGGGGAATTGGTCAATGCCTCAGAGCACAAGTAAAATGTTCACATTACCTTTGTTGGTTATGGAGTGCTGACATGATTTGTTCAGGATCCTCTACCTACTCCACTGCGACAAACGGGACTGGTAACTACCCTTCTCTTTCATTCCTTACGTCCTCCCAGCCGTCTCCCAATCGCGTGTCCACGGTCTCCGATCGATCTCCTTATCCCAACGACCATTCGAACGCCAACACCCCTTCTTCCTCGGGCGCGCAGCCATCTCCGAACTTTGGCTCGGCGCAGCCAAATCCAGCGCTTCCTTCCATTAACCAGAACTATGACGCGCCATCTCAGAGAGGTAGCATTGCAGAGCCCGCGGAGTCACGGCGAAGCAGTATTGATAGTCGGATGAACCAGGGAATAAGCTCCCTTGCCATAAACCCCGCCTCTCCCTATCATAGCACGAACGCGTCGCAGACATCGATTGTCTCGGGGTTACAACGGGAGCGTGGAATATCTATGGATGTGAATATGAACAATACATACCGAGGCCCCCGGTATTCTGGGGGGCAGCCTCTCTCCCCTTTGGGCCCACGGGCTGGCGAACCTCGTGGATTTGCGGCTGGCCGCACTGCACCTGCGATCTCGTCGAACCCTCGCTCGGAAATTTATAATGCGGAGGCGCCCACAGCTGGTCTTGCATACGCTTTCCCAGATCCGGATGTTGCACGGTCCAATTCAATCTCTTCTACGACCGAAAAGTCGAACGCACAGTTTTGCAGAAAAGGAAGCACGGCGGAGTCATTTTCAAGCAGCATCTACTCAGATTCCCGTTTGCCTCGTGGTCAGCACGGTATGTCAATCTGTGATATTCGGCAGCATATGCTGGTCTGGGGAGTCATCAATTACTAATCATGCTTCAGAACTCCCTCAAAATGTTCACCACCATTCGCTACAGCACAAGCAAGTTCGTGGACTCATTGGAGAGGCCGACCTACACAGCGGTAGTACCCCATACAGCAGGACACCTGAGCTGAGGGTGACACATAAGTTGGCGGAGCGGAAACGCCGTAGCGAGATGAAGGATTGCTTCGAGGCTCTGCGGATGCGTCTTCCGCAAAGCCAGAACAACAAGTCGAGTAAATGGGAGACTCTTACGAGAGGTAAATATGCATTTGCCTATGTCTATATATAGTTACCATACTAACTCTTTGGTAGCAATTGAATACATCGGACAACTAGAGAAGATGCTGAGCAACGCTCGCCGGGAGAACGATCTTCTCCGGACTGAAATGGACGACATGCGGGCCCAGCTTAATCAGCAGCAGCAGCAACAGCAACAAGCTAACGGGCAATCACGACCACAGTCAATGTTCGAGCATCATTCGATGGCCACGCCGCAGGCTAATGGACAGTCACATGGCGCTATGTTTGCTGGTTACGCCCCGGGCGCCGGGATGACGCAGGAGCAGCCACGGACTTTACCGCCTCTGATGAATGGGTCTGTCGCACCAATGCAAGGTGTGCAGTACACCGATGAGCGACGGTAATACAAAGGAAATCTATTCTACGCGATTATTTTATGACCTGGCTGTGATACGAGTATGTCGGTCCTGAGCCTGTTCCATTCAGCCTCTTGCGCCCTGAACGCGGAAACGTCACCTTTTTTCTGTAGCTCTCTTGTAGATTTTATTCGGGTGGTCCCCCCCCTTTTTTTTTCTTCTTTCTCAGCGCGAACATTCCGTCTCACCATCGCCGTGCCTTTTCCTGATGTCCTTCAGTGGCAGACACTCTGCCGCAGTGTCTTATTGAACCTGGCCTCGACGTCTTTATCTCCCTTTTCTTTCCTTCATAAACTTTCGCATCATGATTCATCTATTCGCATCGGAGACGGGATATCTGGGATTTGGATTTGGATATGGGAAGTGTATGTTCATTATGTTTGTCCTCACTTTGACGCAGTGAGTGCTTTATAGTGCGTGTGTACCAAAACGAAAAAGCGCAAACCAGCTTGGAATAGGAGTGTGTATGGTGTTTCATTTGATATCCCCAAGGTCTATGTGATTATTATGTTGATGAAGCGTCCTGAATGGTTATTGGGACCCAATGTGAATTGATTGATTGAACGTCCACCGAAGCCAACCTTTTTCGCCAGAATTTGGTACGAGTGTTCCATGAGTCATTGTACATCTAAAGCAATTATCTACTGTCCAATTGATTTCAGACGATAAATGTGTATACATACGTATACTGGAAGTGTTTGGGGTTCATCGGTGTCGGATCTATTTTTGTCTTGGGAGATCTCGCGACGCCTGATTGGTGCCCGGGAGCTTCACGGCCATTTCTTCAGTGTCTTGGATAAGCGCCGTACCCACGACTCCATCATGGCGGCTACAAACCTTCCTGCATCTTTCCTTGGGCCAATACTTGATCGAACTTGGACCCCCGGTCTGCATTTAGCAGGGGTCACCAGAGCTTCTCGTCCAATGAAGGTAGCTCAGACATCATCAGCTCCCGCATGTACTATGGAGCACGGAGATTTAGCATTCTGCAGAAGAGAGGTGCCCAATAGAATGGATCGAGGTCCTGAGCGCTGATGCATGAGCTCTGAGACTAATAATAATTGAGGTAAGTTATTTCTTCAGCGAATGTCTTCCCATCCAATTTGCTCTCTTTCATCGGATGACTTCCTCGCCTCACTATTGTTGTGATTATATTCCTTCTCCTCCCAATCTGCCGTCTCTCATTCAATTTACGCATCTCAACTACTAATTCGACCCCGAAAACATACTCGGGCTTTTCTTAAATCAGGATTGGAAAGCATAGTTCCGACGTCTGATTAACACAAGCTCACGTTGTCGCTTTGAAGTACCGCTATTGTCTTTGTCTTATTGACTGATATCCCCCCATTCACTCTCCTGAATGCTTTGTTGACAGGGATAATACATTGTCAGTGTGTCCCTTTGTCTATTGTATGAAATACCCGGCTTGAATGGACCATTAGACCCGGTACCACGCCCTTATGTCCGTGACATTTTCTACTGGTCCGTGGAGAAGTGGTTTGTTCTAGTTGATATACACATCTGACTCAGGTATGTTACCCTGTGATCACACCAATACTTCAGTTCTAAGTATTCTAAGAAGCCAGCTTCCATTGACAGCGCACAGGACGATGGGTTGGAAGCGCCAGAAGCCGCAAGCTGAGCTGCGGATTCCCGCAATCCCGACCTTTCCCTTGTCGTCCCCAATCACAGAAGAGGTTGTTACACCGATCTCTTCGTCCCCAGATGAGCGAGACGTGGAAAAGCTTCATCCTTTCGATCATCTGGGGGCAAAAGTGTCCAGCCAGAACCCATTTGCTCGCAAAGTAGAATACGAACAACGGCAGGAGGGCAAGGAGCCGGTGCGTGAAGCCAATAGTTACTACTTCGTGCAAAAAGCGGCAGAGAGTGCGGGCGATCCGAAGCCAGCAGTCAAGAAGAATCCTGAGCGGCCCGTGGGATTGAATCTGGTCACCGATTTTTCGCTAGCAGCACCGAAACCCCGGGATGATATACCGGTGGAAGGGCTCGTGGATCCAAATGATCTCAAGGTCCTTCCAAAGGAAAGGGCCGAAGAAAGGTCGATGCAGAAGGTCAAGGGCATTCTGAAGAAAGGAACGGTTCAAAGATCCCAGAGACTTCCCGACGAGCCCTCAGACCCAGTCAAGAGAAGATCTTCCTTGTTTGACTGGAGGCCTAGTGGCTCACCAAAGCGGAGAGGCAAGGACGACTTATCTCCATCAGACCGGCCGATAATGATTGGGTTCAGCATGCCACGTGAAGAACCCACCGTTTCGCGGAAAAGATATTCTAAAGAGCTTGACATTGCAGATACCCAGCAGACGCCGCTCACGCCCTCCATAGTTGTCACCCCGGCAAAGGAGGATGACTTTTGGGCAGGTTTTAGCCAAGTTTGCAACCCTCCTAGAGTCGCATCTAGCATTTACTCCCAACCCACTCCATGTATAGAAAAGAGCGAGTTAGATATCCCCCCTGTACCCGCCATTCCAGCAGAGCATGTATCGGCTAAGAGTGAAGTTACGAACCAAGAGACTCTCAAAAGGCAATCTGTGGCATCTAGGAGACAACGTTCATATTCCACGGGTACGGTCTTCGAGGAAGACATCCAACCGCGGCCGGGGCTTCGTTCAAGGTCATGCTCCAACGGAAGTGTTAAGAAAGCGTTTGATCGTTTGAGTGGCATCGACAGAATGAGTCGATTGAGTGTTAATACCGAAGCTAGGAGGCACCAGTCCCAAGGATGGTGGACATACCTTCTGTCTCCTTTATTGGGTCGTTCTAGCACAATAACTAGTCGAAGAACACTAATCGACGTACATCCACCTCCTGTTCCCAGTATTGCCACCGATTTGACAGGATCAAGCGATGAGTGGTGGGAGAAGGAGGTATCGTACTTTTCACCTGATACACCGGAAGAGACGATGGCCAGTCGAGGTATTTCCAACTGGCAGCCTTCTCAAAACAACCCTTTCGCCGATGAGAAAGCTGTCGACTGGCACACCCAGGAGCCAACTGGCCTGAGTAGCGCAGCGTTTGTCGTTCCCGACCAAACGGTTCAGGGCGCCGCTGCCGAGTACTATCATGCTTGTGCACATGAGCTGTTTACCGGGAGGCCTTATTTCGAATGCATCAACCATGTCTGTTCGATAACTCCAAAAGACCAAATTCCAGTCCCCGGTGCAGATACCACAAAAGACAGTGGTTCGGGTCAAAGAGGTGTGCTTATTGATGTGGATGAAGCGCCGAAACCCGTTGACAAAGAACCTGAAGGTTCAAAATCTATAGTCATTCCTGCCACAACTTCCCTGCCTCCGCCAACGGTCGTCGACAAACAGCCAAATACCCCTGTGGAGAGCCTAAAGGAAGACAGCGGTTCAAAAGGCGATACGAGAGCCCCTCCTGAGGAGGATTCTACGAAACCAATTTCCGAAGAGACTATCAGAGAACCAGCACCTCCAGCAGGCAATCAAGCTGAGACTAATCCTTTCGTTCAGCCAGCTCAGCAAAATAGCGCTGTTCCGCCGCCAATCACGAATGTATACATTCAGTATACCCCTGCACCGTCTTCTGCTCCCGCCACTACTATTGAACGAGCTGTACCTCAGTACATAGTAGTTCCTTCCTCAAACGAAGGGACTCAAAAGCATGAATTGCAGTCACAAGCACAACCGCAATCTCCTGGTCCTGTCTCCCCTGGCTTCCAGCGAGCAACGGCAAAGACAGGTTCAATCCCTCTATCTGACATACACTCTACCCCGGCGCCTGTGTATACGTCTCATCGTAACACTCCCACCACGTTACCACCCCGTGTGGATCCTCTTCCGATCACGCGGGGGGCAATGACGAATCCAGTTACAGAAAGTAATAGAATTGAGTATCGACGAAGAAGGCTCGAGAAGGAAGATGCGGTCGGTAGGAAAGCTGGTGGGCTATGGCGCGGTAGGGGTTGTTTCAGCAACAAGGGATGTTTTGGGAGACCTGGGCGTGAAGGACGACTGAGGCGCCGGTGGTATGCGGCCATTGCTTCATTCTTCATTATCATTGTGGTGGTCGCCGTTACCCTCGCTGTAATGCTCACCAGAAGGGGGGACGAGACACCTGTCCAGTCGCAATGGCTGAATTTAACCGGCTATCCACCTATGCCTACAGGCATTGCAACCGTTGCTGGGCCCGAGCCACAAGTGCAAAATTCGGGCTGTATTACGCCGTCGACCCTCTGGAGCTGCGCCTTGCCCAATGAACAGCAGTCAGCCAACAAGCCTTATGCTGCAAACCAACCTAATTTTCGCGTCGAGATTCGTTTTCGCAATGGGACATATCCAAATAGCACGACTGTTGCGTCGAAGTCTAGCAAGGCCAAAGCTTCTAGAAGATCTGGGAACCTGTTCAGCCCATCGCCATCCCCGCCAGACATGAAAGACCAGACGTTCCTGGGCAATACAACTGATAAGAATATCGTTCCCTATGCGGGCGAACAGACACCCTTCTACATGACAATACTCTCCCCTCTCCAGATGTCCACCTCCCAACTGTCACGAAGATCAGACAATTCGTTTCCTGACATAGAATCTCTCATCCCATCTCCAGACCTTAACTCCGACGGCACTGCTGCAGCCGCAGAGCTCTATCCTCTTCCTGAATCACAGCCTGTGCGACTATACAATCGCGGGCAGGACACCGAGCACTACGGCTTCTATACCTATTTCGACCGGTCTATTTTCCTTGAATCATCTGCTCCACTCACGGACAGCAAGAACGATGATTTTACAAGCGATGCCAACGGTGGCCCAAGTAAAGCACATGCCCGAGTCAGGTGTACCTGGGCTCAGACACGCTTTCTCGTCCAGATCTGGACTCGTCCCGGAAAGACCCTCCTCAGTAACAGCTCATCTGCTAGCACAACGCCAACACCCACCCACTCAGGAACTAGCAACCCAACTGGCTCTAGCTCCGCTACTGACTTTGTTCGCCCTGGTTCCTTCCCGTATCCGATAACGATAACTCTAGATCGGCATGGAGGCGCGATCAAGAAGAAGATGGTGTACTGCTACGGTATGGAATCAGATCAGCATGTCAATTCAACCGAGGCGAAATTACAAGTGGAAGATCGCGGGTTTGGCGGTCAATTAGTCAACCCGGCACCTGGAATCTTTAACATGTCTGATTCTGTTTTGAGTGCGTCGGGTTATGGTGGTTTTGACGGTGGAACTGGGGGCTGTTCTTGTCAGTGGACGAACTGGATTTCTAGGTCGTAGGCTGGTAAGATGGGGTATTGTCAGCTGTCTTCTCTGTCGCTCATTCTTGCTCTATTTTCTTCGCACGGAGCATTTCCAGCATTCTCTGTTCGTGGAAATCATTCGTAATCTCTGCCAAATACCGTTTTTAACTACCTGAGGCAGTCACACTATATAGACAAAACAAAAGTCACATTGCATACACATCTGAAACCGCAAGATCATTTGGTTGACCAGAAGCCCTGAAATTGTCAGGTCAGCGATGGTAGGTAATAGATCACTCGATCAACTGCACAGTGGTCTATCATATGGCCATTGAAATAGGGTCCAAAGGAGGCAATCCGACTGGTCAAGCCAATCCAATAAATGTGACGTATCGGATGCTAATCAAACAAGCCACGATCATGTTTCCCTTCATTCCAGCCACTATTACTAACACAAGATGACCGGAGATGCAGCGTGACCCGAATCCCTTACTTAAGGTAAGACAGCTGAGCTGAATTTCTTTTTCCGATGAGAAAAAGCAATTCAAGATAGGCCCTTATAAAATGCAAGCGTCTCTACCGAGTAGAGCTTGGAGGGGACAAGAAAATGTCATAGATTCACAATGGCAACAAGCAGCCTCGCAGACCACCAACCGTGGTATCAACGCATCCAATGGTTCAATTTCTCCATGCTGGTTCTCATCCCGCTATGGGCTTTTATCCAGTCACTTTGGGTTCCTTTGATCTTGAAAACTCTGGTCCTGTCAGCGGTGTACTACATATTGTCGCTGGGCTCTATAACTGCCGGTAAACCACTCTCTACCCTGGAGCATTGAAAAGGCCAAAAGAGAAACTAACAACACCACAGGATACCATCGCCTATGGGCGCACAGATCCTACACAGCATCGACCCCCCTGAAATGGCTGCTCGCTGCGTTCGGCGCCGGGAGTCTCCAAGGCTCCATCCGGTTCTGGGTGCGCGAGCATCGCCTCCACCACCGATACACAGACACCGATCTAGATCCGTACACTGTGAACAAGGGCCTCCTCCACGCGCACATCCTATGGGTTCTCCTCCGTCAGCCACGGAATGAAAAGAATAAGCGAGCCCGCATCAACCTCTCCGATATCGACCACGATCCCGTCGTCGTCTGGCAACATAAGTACTACTTCCTCGCTGCCTTCGGCATGGGCTGGCTGCTCCCTTGTCTGGTAGCCGGACTGGGGTGGAACGATTGGACGGGTGGGTTTCTCTACGCTGGCGTGCTGCGAGCTTTCTTTGTCAATCAGGCTACGTTCTGTGTGAATTCTCTGGCGCATTATCTGGGCCATCAGCCGTATGATGATCGACATACGCCGCGCGACCATCTGCTCACGGCGCTGATTACCCTCGGCGAGGGGTTTCATAACTTCCATCATGAGTTTCCGTCGGACTATCGGAATGGCATCGAGTGGCACCAGGTTGATGTGACGAAGTGGTTTATCTGGGCGTGTGGCTTTGTCGGGTTAGCGGATGACCTGAAGCGGTTTCGGTATGATGAGATCGCCAAGGCACGGCTGCAACAGAGGTTCAAGCGGCTTGATGAGGAGAAACAACGTCTAAACTGGGGGACGCCGCTGGAGGAGCTTCCTGTCATTGATTGGACGGAGTATCAGCGGAGAGTGGAGATGGGACAGGTGCTTGTCGTTGTGGAGGGCGTCGTGCATGATCTTGGGGCGTTCCTAGCTGAGCATCCTGGGGGTGAGACTGCTCTTAAGGGTATGCTGGGGAAGGATGCTACGGCGCTGTTTAACGGCGGCGTCTACGACCATTCTCGCGTGGCTAGGAACCTGCTGGCTACTATGCGGATTGCGGTGCTGAGGGGTGGTGGGGAGGTGGAGTGTTGGAAGTAGAAGGGGTATTGCTACGTTAGATATGACTGATAGAGATTGTAGTACCTTTTGTTCTCTATTCTATCATGCTTCATAGAAATCCTTCGCACATACGCGGAGTAGACACTTCTCATCTTGCAAGTTGTATAGTCACAAGACCACCACATATCGTAAAGAACTCTCTGTCCAAGCAAGCCCACGCTCTCCACTACCCTTTCTACACAAATCATATGAAAAACACAAAAAAAAAATAAAAATAAAAAAAAATAAACAGTCAAGACCCACTGGTCTCCATGGATGCAACCTCCAGTAGGCAGAATCGTTTTATTCCCCAGAAACCTTCTATACCCAATCGGGGTGTCGGGGACGAAAATACGAAGTCCAAGTCAAGTTATAAGAATCGACTCAGTCTCGACTCGAAATGCCCAACGTCAGACCACAATAATCCAATCCCTCCTCCAAACCAAACTAAACCAGCCCTCCTTACCAACAATAAGGAAAGCAAGAAAGAAAACAAAAACAAAAACAAAAGAAAATGACCACCCTAACCCCCCAAGAAGCCTCCCTCCTCGAAACCGCCACAAAAACAATAACCAGCATCAAACCCTCCAACACGCACAGCGTCGCCAGCGCCGTCCTCGCCTCCGACGGCCGCGTCTTCTCCGCCGTAAACGTCTACCACTTTACCGGCGGCCCTTGTGCCGAACTCGTCGCCCTGGGGAATGCTGCCGCGGCCGGGGCCGAGGAGCTCACCCATATCGTGGCCGTCGAGGATACCCGGCGTATCTTGAGTCCCTGTGGACGGTGTCGGCAGGTTTTGTTGGACTTGTGGCCTGGCATTAGGGTTATTGTTTTGGGGGAAGAGGGGCCCAGGGTTGTTGGCATTGCGGAGTTGTTGCCTTTTGCTTATTCGTGGCCTGGGGAGGAGTAGGTTTTTTTTTTTTTTTCTCTCTTATCTACTCTTCTTTCTGTGGGTTAGAATGCATGTTGTAGTGTTTGGTTACATCTGTTTGTTTCTGTCTCTGTTGAAATTGCGTTTCAGGCTACGCTTGACATGTGGAAGGAGAGTTATTGTGAATGCCAATCTATTATTATTATAAGATTAAGTAAATGATCTAAAACGCCAAACCCGAACGCCCTAGTAAAGTTCCCCCATGTTCTTTTTTTGGAAAAGAGGGTAGAGTATTTCAAGCCTTTAACCTTGAAAAACCGGAAGGTGGAAAGCACTATATGTCAAGGAGAAAAATCATAAAATGGTCCCGCTTCGTTAATATCTCTGCAATACCATCTTGTATATGATACTGCTTCGGAGCGGAAATCACCATTGTCGAAAGAAATGCCGCTTATACCATCAGCATCAGGCCAATGGCAATGCTGGCAACAGCTGTGAGACCAGGAATGAGGAGCTTGGAGCCGGGGCTGGTGGGAGCGAAGCCAGTAGATGTTGGCTTGGCAGGAGCGCCACCGCCGCCAACAAAGCCTCCACCGCCGGTGGTCTGGCTAGAAGAAGTAGAGGTCTTCGGGATGGTCGAGTTGGCGAACTTAGGGAAGCCTGAGCTTGCGGAGGGCTTCGGGGTCACGGCAGGAGCGGTAGCGTTAGCACCTGGAACAGTTGGCTGGACAGCGGGGACACTGGGCTGAGCCGCAGGGGCGGTAGTCTTGATAAGAGGGGCGCTGGACTGAGCAGGGATGCCAGGAATACTGGAACCACCAGCGGTAGGCTGAATGGCGGGAACATGGGTCTCAGCAGCGGCAGTAGACTCGGCAGGGGCCGCTGGAGCAGCAGACCCAGCCGGAGCAGCGGGAGCAGCAGACCCAGCCGGAGCAGCGGGGGCAGCAGACTCGGCGGGAGCAGC